GTTGAAGAATAATCAGACAGTGAAATCAGACAAAGCCTTTAATAGTCTCTTCAGATACCTCCTAATCCGATCCAAGCCAATGGAAAGCCTCTGCTGCTGTCAAGTGTCCTTGATCACTGGTTGACACTTGACCTTTCACCCCTTAGAGGGTGATCATACTTCTGCTACTACTACTGCCTGTCCTGTATTATCTGGTGCGTGTGTTTAGTGGTCTGGAGGCAGTTCTGGAAGTACCTATGAACCCAGTATTTGCTCCCAGAAAGCATGCTGGAGGTGTGATGGTTGCAGGATGAATTTGTGGTCCGAGTGACAAACAGATGCCACACACCACGGGAGGAAAAATTAACCTAAGATTGAACAGACAAACTCGAGGTCACCATGATGCCTTCACTTATCATTTCATTTCGGGAACTTTAAAATCCAAAGACAGAAAGACGTTTGGGTGTAGCAGCTGTGGTTCTCCTCAGTGGATGATGAATGGTGATATGAACATTTCTACTTTTAAACTTTACTTTCTATCATTCTTAAATTTTTGGATCATAGTATGAAAACTAGTATGAGATATTATGTACATATTTCCAACACATATTTTTGCACACACCTACAAACACTCCACTCTTAAAGACACATGCACGACTTGATTGAATTTCTTATAAGCTGTTTGTTTTAAGGTGTTTCAAAGTTGAGCAAGTTTCAGGATTGTTTCTATCTTGTGTCCAAGGCTTATGATATACTTGCTTTTGATAACCTGGTTCCAAACATCTGAACCACCACCCCAGTCTGATGATGCGCTCATTGACGAGTTTAAAAAATTGTCTTCTTGTGACAAAGACCATGAAGGTTAAACGGTTCTCCAGGATTTTGCCAGCAAACGCTTTGTGCAGAAAAATACAATGAAAATATCTTCTTAACTGAACACGGTGAGAACTAAGAAGGTTTTGGTTTAGATAAAAAACAAGTGTGAATCCAGCCTGTTTTGAAGCCTTGAATTGGACATTATAGTTGTCGCCAGCAGCGGTGACGTAAAGCGAGTTGAGCTGCTCTGATTGGCTGCTCTTGGAAACAATGGTGGCTCGCCTGGTCACACAGGATCTGGTATTCCAGATAAACAGTAAAATGTGTTTGTGAACAGATTTGAGGAGAGAAATAGTCAACAACAGAATCTGGATCCATATCTGATCAGCACTGTTTGACAGTTTGATCTGAGTTTGGTGCGTTGAGTGGACGGACTCACCTGAGAATGGAGCGTCAATCACCAAGGTAGCCCCGAAAGCATATTATGGTCTGTTTGACTCTAAATGGGACCATCAGTTACTAAATGAACATCATGCTGTATGGAAGAAGACTGAAACTAGAGACTGAGAGCAGAAACTAGAGACTGTTTACTGATAAACGAAGTCGGCTAATTTCTCCAATCTCTGTCCTCTAATCAGTGGAAGGAATGCAGGATTCACAGGGTTAAAAGCAAGTATATCTGTGCTCAGAGACAGACTGAAAACCTTCATACATAATTATTACATACAGTACTTACAGTAACTCCACGACAAAGCAGACGTTTAGAAATGTTGAGTTGAAGTTCAAGTGCAGTCTTTGAGGTTTGAGTTTGGAGTTTAACCTTAATTGATCTATTTATTTCAAATTGTATTTATATTTTGTGGCCTTTTGTGAGCATCTGTTGGTTGTTTCACTTTGGTACGAAGCCTTTGTTGTGACATTTTTTGTAATCTGATGAGTGACGCGACTTCTTTGAGCTCTGCATGAAAATACTGGAAGCAATATGTTCAGTTTTCACCACCATAGGGCAGACAGAGTCAGACGCTCAACACTGGATACCATTTTAAACACTTTAGGAAATGTTCTCTCCGTTTCTGAGAGAATATCAATCCCATGACAGCTAGCATGGTTGCCAGGAACTATTTTTTGGTGGGAAGCCATTGAGGGATTGTTTCCTTGTTGATTAAAGTAAAAAGAACAACAAAAAAAACTGCCAACACTTCTAATGTGAAATTTAGGCAAGGGAAGAGTAATAATGTGATTACACGAGCAAACAGGTGATTTAAATGTTGAGCTGTGACAGTGAAAATAATAATCAGAGCAAAAACTGATTAAAAAACATTTTCGGACCAGAAGAAGAAATATTGGTGTTCATATTGATTCTTAGCGATGATATTTTGTGGTTATGAGTTTGTTTAATGAAGCTTTTACAGATTTATTTGTATATACATGGAATATAGTGCTTTACGATGTCTCAGCTGTTTGTAGATCATTATTATTATTATTATTATTACAGTGGCTGCTATGGTAGCTAAAGAAACTTTCGCTCCGTCTCTCATTCAGAAAAGCTTTATGGGCATGACTGTTAAAAACAAAACAGAAGAAAAACAAGTTTGCCAAAGCAGTTTGATCTGTCTGAAAAATAAAAACTGTACGAAAAAACAACAACTGGGCTTTGTTTCTCATTTTATGTTGTTTGAAGCTCGTTGGCCACAGATCAGTTATTCTGTTCTCTCTGCAAACTCTCAAACTTTGTCAACATGACTAACAAGCTTTTTCTAAAAGTTGTACTGAGAGATTGGGCATATACAGAACACAGTGAGCAGCAATAAACTGACATTTCCTCCACACCGTGATGGCATCATCACCATCACGCACCGACCATGAAAGAAACTCCCTGTGGACAAACTAACTACAAACAGGTAAATCATTCTTCTTTGAGGATTATTTCCAAAGATCCGAAATGGTAAAAAGAAATATCTCAAAGCCGCATTAGTTCCCATAACCAAGGTTGCATAAATTCAGATGATTTCTAAAGGGACTCTGGTGAGCCATTCCCTAAGCCCTGCTTTAAAAGTAAAATACAGACTAATACACGCTAATAAACATTACAGAGTTTTAACAGCTACGATTCAAAATCAAGAATTCGGCCCCAAAACAACTGAAAAGATTATTAACACCAAATCTGTTTTTTACCTTTAAATCTGTCAAACAGGACTGGGGACCTCACATTCAGGGCAATAAAAGTGGCAGTGGAAATAAAAAGCAGACTAAATTCTCTGCATCTGAGCGAACTATGACAGAAACCAGCGAGCAGCGCAATAAAGTGGAAATTACATTGTCACGTTGCAATTAAGCATCTCCTGAAGGATTTCCTAATGCTGTGTTTTGCCGACGACCTGATTGCTTTAGAAAATAGGAGTCCAGCGACCGTTTCATCAAATCGCTGGTAAAAGATTGTCAGCAGGCTGCATGCAGCAGCCAAGATACTTTCAATGTTTCTGTTCCGTATATGATTTATTTTATTCATAGTTGCAGCAGATTATTGAGCTTCTTACTGCTGCAGCAGCTGCAGGTGTTTCTCTTCCTCTGAGAAGTGTGAATGAATTTTGTGTCAGACCTTAACTGCAGGATTCTGCAGAAACAGGAGACAGGAGCTTGTACATGGAATCATGCTCATTTTACTGATTAACTGATTATTTAGCACTTGAAAGCTGGATTAGGTGTTTATATGCCACAGGAAAATCAGACCGCAGTTGGAAGACCAACAGATTAATCAGTTTGCCGATTTGTTAATCGGCTGAATTAAGAGTCAGAATGCTCATGTTGAACTTATTGTGCACAAACATAAGAAATACTAAGCGTCCGCCTGGTGGAAGTGTTATACAGACCGTTTCTGTCACTTTCTGCAGTTCCTCTAACGTCCACTAGAGGCTCCAGCAGTGAGTCAGTCTCCTTATTAAACTGCAGAAATATAAATAAAATGTTTACAGCCTGTTGGTCTCTAGAGATCATTTCCCCGTTCATGAGCTGTACAACTCACCCCTTTAAATTATATTATATTATATTATTTATTTAGTTTAATTATACCCAACCCATATCCAGGAATCACTGAGCACGCGAAAAATTTGGCTCTTTTGCCCCGGTGCATGCTGGGTAGCTTTCCCACACACCTGCCTTTTTTACACGACAGTATCTAAACCTTCTTTTCTGTCCTGATTTCCATCCTTATTTTTCTTTTGGGGCGACTTTAGTCCACAACATTAAGGGCCTGTCCACACGAATACGTTTTTGTCGAATCCGGATAA